GTGGTGGTGGTGGAGGAGGAGGAGGAGGAGGAGGAGGGTGGTCATGTCAGCTGGACTTGATGTGTGTGTCGAGATGAGGACAAGCAAATCCTCTCTCTAGATCAGCTTTCTATTTTAATAGCACAGACATGATGCTGCTCACGCTCGGCCTTCTTGATCAGTCAGGATGGGATACGTATATCTTAAATATTTTTCTTTGGTGACTGGACAGAGTGCACCGAAGATGCTAAAATGGAAGGTTTCAAGGGGATATTGGCCAACTAAAAGGTATGTGTGTATAGATGTTATTTCCCCTTGGCATGAAGTTGAGTCAAAGTGTTATATATTCCTGCAGGACACTTCCAGGACGTGATCTGTTTACAGACTTCCACAGAGCTCCATCGCTTTTTGGATTTTACAGTGGTGTTTTAGTCTAAACCAGAACAGTAGGAGACTTCAGGGCCACGGTGATGCAAAGTTTTATTGTCCTTCCTCATTGAACACACCTGATTCAACTCATCAGTTAATTGCCAAGACCTTCCTGAGATAAATTTGGGGTTTAGGAGAGAAAACACAAACCTGTTCAGAACCTGTAACGTGTGGTTCTCCTTATTTGTGTACTCTCCAGAGCCTCTGTAGAGATTGACTCTCCTGAAATAAAGCATACCAAAGTTGTAGCTTTGCCTTGGGTGTTCTTAAAGCCTCATTTCCATTTCAATGAGGCTTGAGAGTATGAAAAAGATCACAGTGGCATTTAAATGATCCTTTATGTTTGAATTAAAATGCAATCCCATTTCCATCTCATGGCGACTTGTCAAAGTGGATTTATTTATTATAGTGCTACAGCATTTGTTTATGATTTCCTCAGTGGTCATGGCTTCAGAGAATGCAAGCGCAGGCTGGAGAGGTCCTGAGATTTCGGCCTATCGGCAAACTGAAATCGGTGAGTCCAACTCCCCTTCTCAGCAGAATAATGTGCAGGATGGTGAACATCATGGATACAGCGCTTTGAGTTTGTCCATCGACTCTGGAACATCCTCAGCTGAACTTTCCCAGCTGCACTCTGACACTGAAAGTAGGTTATTTATTAATTTGTTTATTGACGCCATTCACATTTTTAAATTAATTCATTTTGAGCATTCATTTTGAGGCGAGAGAAATCTGGACAGACTATAGGACTAAAGTGTTGCTGCATCAATCTCTTTAGGTAGAGAGGAGACTCTGGTCTTTGTGGGATTCGAAGTCAATCTTTTTTATTATTATATATTTTTTTTTGTTTATGATACATTTTCACCACTCTCTGTTTTAGACTTCAGACTCAGCGACAGGTATTTATGTGACCACCTTGACATGAATGGCTTTTCAGAAGAAGAACTGCTGAACATTACGTTTGAGGCATGTGATGCTGCAGGACGAGGTAGACTCTCTTCTTTCTCTCTTGAAATTGACAGGACGTTTTTAGAGACGGATCTCTGAGAATTTCTCTCTTGTCAACAGGAGAAGTTCTGGCCTCCACTGTGGTGCAGTTTCTACAGGCCATGACAGGCCACAGCGGTGGACAGGACAAGCTGACTGTCCTGAAGCACATGTTGGACCCAGAGGACCGAGATCCGCCCATCGACAGAGAAGCGTTTCACACCACCATGAGGAAGTGGATCGCTCAATGCAGCCAGGATGGGTGAGACACGGCAACACGTGGAAAATACGTATATTTCCACATATTGAATGTCTCCATTTGATAGCTTTTTCCTCAAAACCATAAATGTGTCACAAATTATTAGATGAATTAATTTGTAGAATAACAAACAGTTAAAATTCAGACCGTTCTGTTATATTTTTGATGCTGGAACTTGTAGTGTTTGATAAGAGTGTTTCCACTGACTTGTAGATTATTTGAGGACAGCTACCAGGCGTCAGGATCAGACTCTTGCAAAGCAACTGGGAACGGTGAGTCTCATAATTGAATACGGTCAAAATTATTCAGAATTTTGGCACCCTGCAACAGAATGAACACCAATTAAATCTGAATTTCCAACTCGGACACATACTTAAGCTTACTTACTTTGCCTCTGATAGTAATCTATATACAAAAAAAAAGCTTTCAATACAGAGACAGATGGTCACAACATGCATAAGTCAGGTAATAGATATGAAAAATGCATAAACGGTTAAAAATCTCACACTGGGGGTTATAATGAAAAATTTTCAAAAGCCTGAAAAAATAGCCAGAAGTAGGATGCATGAGCATATTCACCCCAGACTCTCTATGAAAAATAGAGAATGTAGTAAAAAAGACAACGACCCCAAAGATCAGTTTCAGAATTGGACAGTTTAGTTGAATCTTACCATCCTGTAACTACAAATTGTTTAGAAGAGTCGCAGGAAAGAAGTCCATCCTGAGAGCAACGCTAAAAAAAAAAAAAAAGAATGTCACCAAGCCTCATAGAAGCTACACTTGTGCTGTGAACAGATGAGAACAAAATCACAATTGGACAAAAAGAAAGAAAGGTGTGAAAAAAGGTGATTGTACACAAAATGTCCCCAGTGACACAAATAGATGGAGGCATGTCATTAATCGTTGATGCATTGGGGTTGTTTTGTAGCTGGTGGTTCAGGGATGGTGCTACATACCACAATATTTTAGTCTATAACCTAGTCGCCTCTGCCAGGATTCAACAAGATTACAAGCCAAACGTACTTCTAAATCACTGCAGAAATGGTTAAAGAAGTTTTTTTTTTGTTTGTTTTTTTCTCTCTTTGCAATGGCCATCTTAATCTGTCTTCAAAGTATTTGTTGTAAGGGTGCCAATAATTTTGAAACTATTAAACCAAACTGAAAACAATGAACAGACAGTTTTGCTCATTTTCAGAAAGGATGCCAATAATTCTGCAAATGACTAACATTATTATAAAATGCAGTGGGTTTTAGGTTGTGTTAATGCTGTTGTATTCGTAGGAGCTGAATTTTCTCCTTCACCGGCTGAAACTACATTCACAGACCAAAGCGAATATCATTGGTTAGTAAAATCATTTCATATCTTACATGTATGGAATAAAACACTGTGTGTCATGCTGTTACAGGAAAATATTCAACGACAGGGTGGTGTGATGAGGCGGCATTACTGCTACCACCCTGACGTTGACTATTTTCCCTTAACAGCAAATCCTGAAGTTTTATTCCTCTTATAAAACACAGCAATTTGCCACCCATTACAATTTTTAATTTAGTCATGGCACTTCATACTTTTTATCCATTTATGGTTATGTTTAATGTTGTTGAACATCCAGAGAACAAATTAGTTCCTGTTATCTCTTCTGTCATAGCAGCTATAAATAGTTGTTTCACCAGCCTCTTGAATTTGATGAGACAAAAAATAACTCCTCCTGTTCATGTGTCCTGAAGACTTTCCCATGGAAGAAAACATCCAGGAACGAAAAGGAGGTTACTGTAACCAAACTCTGCCACTGGAGACTCCTTCCATACATGTTGAATAAACACCTCCTTACAGAAAACTTCAACATATCAACAACACTTTTTTTTTTAAATCCATTTATGTAGAGCAGCCACCATACAAAACCCTGTGAATGAGCTGTTTCTATTGTAAACAATAACGTATTAGAACGCGCGCATTAATATAAACCTGTGTTTTGCAGCTGCACTACTAAATAAAATGAATCAACACCTTCTGACCAATCAGAATTAAGAATTCAACAGCACTGTGGTGTAGAACTTGTATATCGTGTGTTAATTATGATTAGGATTATACTGGTATTCTGGCTGATGCTGTGGTGGTGTTATTGTTTTTTTGTTTTTTTTTTGTTTTTTTATGGCTCCAGTGACGCGGGTGATTTGTTGGGCCTGGTGGCAGAGCTGAAACACACTCAGCGCAGACTGAGAGGACAGAACAGCAGCCTGCTGAGGAGCATATCTCAGTGTGAAGAAACCAACCTTCAGCTTATGATGGACGTTTCAGAGCTTCGCAGCAAACTAGCGAGGTGCTGCATCATTTTCAGTGTTTTTCTCACCCTTACTAAAGTAACAAACATCTCAGTGTTCCTTTTGTCTTGTGTGTCATGTGTTTAAACTCCTCAGCGCCCAGCTGTGTGCAGGAAGAGCTCAGTCTCTGGCTGAGGAGCTGGATGAAGCCCGGCGAGCGCTGAGAGAAAGCCAAGAGAAAACCAGCCGAGCTCAGGCTAACGGCCATTCACTGGTCTGTTACACTCCCAAGTCCAACAAACCATTAAAATGTGTAGAACAATAACAGGTTTAATGCTTTATTTTAATCCTTAACAACCAAATGGATCTATCACTCTAGATATATACAAATATACTGTACATGAATATGCAATTTTTAATATCTCTAACATTAAGGTAGCTAGCTGGCTAGGTAACTGCTAGTCAACTAGTGCAAATGTGTCACTGGTCGATACGAGTGGAATTTCAGTATCAGTGTCTCTATGTGCATAATCGTTTTTTAAGCATCCAAACCTGCCCAAATATAATGTTAACATAACAACCATGATCTGTCCATCATTAACATTAGTTAAGTTAGCTAGATATATTTGTACATTGGTTTTGCAGCTAAACGTTTCCAGGAATATTGTCACCCTCAAAAATTATTCAGCTGTCTGTAATATACTGTGTGAAGGAATGTATTTGTTGTGTTGGATCGATTTATGCAACACTCTGAAATAAGTCAGCAATAAGAAAACATTTCACCAGTGTTAGGGAAGCCATTTTGAAATTGTAACTTGCCAAGCTACAAGCTTAGCTAAGCTTCAGCCAAACTTTGTGACAGCAGTCACTAGTTAATGGAAAAGTTACGTTATTTTGAAAATAGCTCCACTAAGGTTTAACTTTATTGTCATTGTGTAGAGTGCAAGTACAGAGCCAATGAAATGTAGTTTTCACATATCCCAGCTTTCTAGGAAGCTGGGGTCAGAGCGCAGGGTCAGCCATGAAACAGCACCCCAAGCTGATGTGGTTAAGGGCCTTACTCAAGTTCCCAACAGCAGCAGCTTGATAGTGCCGGGGCTTGAACCCCTGACCTTCCGAACCGTAACCCGGAGCCTTAACCGTTCAGCCACCACTGCCTGGAAATGTACTTAAGCTAGTCGCATTGCTACGTACAGCTAGCTAAGCCCCAACACTTCAATTGTTTTGTGATTATGTGGGAAATGGAATAAATTGTAAGTTAGGAAGAAGAAACGTGTTACTTTTAAGGAATGATATAGATTTTAAAACCAGGCAAAATTATGCAATATACTTCAGTTCAGTGAGCATTTTTACATCTTTAAAGTTTTTTTTTTTTTTTAGATTTATGTTAGTGTTTTTGCTCATTGTTGGGCTGCACTGTAATGTTTTTCGTCTTTCAGATGAAGGAGATTGAACATCTGAAGGCTCATATCAAACTCATCGAAGACATGGTACCCTGACTTATTTGATCAATAAACAGTTTAAAGATGGGAAAGATGTGGAAATTTTCAGTGGGTTTTTTTTTTTTTTTTTTTGTCTGCAGAATGAAAACCTGCTGCTGGAGAGAAATGGTGCAGAAGATCGGCTAAACAAGCTCAGAAGAGCAAACACGGATGTCAGGGTGAGAACAAGCTGTTTCCCGTTTACCACAAAGCTGTTCAGTTCTCAAATCTGATTGGTCAGAAGGTGTTGATTAATGTTCTGTAACAACAAATTTAAAGCTTAAAAATAGTCAAATATGTCTAGAAATAGCCTTAATAATTTTATATGTGGTTTATTGTGATCTTATAAGGAGAAATGGCAAATAAAAAATATTTTTAAAAATTTGACTAGATTCAAGATATTTTCTCTTGCTATCATTTTTTGCAGTGCAGCAGCTCTCACACTAGTGCAGCTGCAAATCACAGGTTTACATTAATGCGCTGGTTCTAATACATTATCATTTCTATAGTAACAGTTCATTTCGTACGTATGGTGGATGCTCCACATAATCTAACGGTAATAATAAACACACTAAAAACATGTAAGAAACACACAAGAAAAACCCATGTAAACATTGAATGAGTGATGTTTTCTCTAAGGAGATGTTTATTTAACATTTATGGAAGGAGTCTCCAGTGTCACCGCTTTGCAATAGTCCAAGTTAAAGCTGTAAAGTTTTCCGACAAAGGAAATGTTTGTTTTGCACTTTCTCTATCAGACTGCGTTGTCTCAAGTTTAAGAAAAAGCGAGGGGTTGTTTACAGCTGCTACACTGCAAGTGATACCAGGAAATAACTTGTTTTGTGGACATTCCACAACATTAAATGTAACTATAAATGGATAAAAAGTATGACGTGGTGTTTAATGTGTTCATTGCCAAATTGCTGTGGTTATAGAAAAATAATCACCTTCAGGGTGGTAACAGTACCTCCACTTCATCACCCTCACTCTGTTGTTGATTATTTTCCTATAACAGCAGATCTGCAAGTGTTTTATTCTGTACTTATTGTTTTGTCATTATTTAATGGCACTCTTTACTGTTTGTAGGAGGAACTGGAGGAACTGCGGGTGTTACTGGCAGTGAAAGAAAGGGAAATCACTAAGGTGAGCAGATATACATGAGGCCTTTATTGTGCACAAGCATACTTTATGGTTAATAAGTTACATTAATAGCTCACAGTATGAGTCATTCACCAGTCTTACACACACACACACACACTTAATCACCTAACCCACGTTTCCTCCATGAATCCAGCCAATGAACTGCCGCTCATGCCGTGTAACACACTTGAAGGAAAGTGCTATCTGCCCTCTTCTTCATACATGAGGTCACAGATGCCCATGATTGGCTAGTATCGCTGTGATTGACAGGAGAGAGTGAGTATGCTCCTCCCACCCAGAGAGCACAGCCAATTTAAAGTCAAGTGGGATTTTGTCATTCCTCTATTCCATGGTGCAACACAACGGTACACAAGACTACATAAAGTGGAAATGCACAACAGTGTGAGATGAGTGCAGGACAATAAATACACAGGATGATGAACACACACACACCCGGAAACAGAACAGAGATGTGCAGGAAAGCTATTGCACAATGGACTGTAAACTACAGTGTAGTGTAGCAGCAATTTGGCTCTCTTGACTCTCAGACACGGATGGCTGTAGCCTTGTCAAGATTCAAACTTGCAATCTCCTGATGATGAACATTTTTCTGTTGCATCACTTGTATAATGTTTTTATGCATTTATTGCCTCATTAATCCATGTTGCACTGGATGTGGCTGCCAATATCGTTTGCTTTTCTGTTTTACCCCGCCTTAACCATCATTAAACCAACTACACACACTCTCTCTTTCTCTCTCTCTCTCTCTCTCTCATCATTCCAGTGTCATTTTTCTAAACTAGCAGGATTTTTCATGAACACTATTTCTGTGTAAATGCTCCTGCGAACAATTTACGAATAAATTTTGTTTGTATCCAGCTTGATCACCGAGACCCAATAAAACCTGAGCCGTTATTTGGTTATGTGGTTAGTGTTTGTTACAGCCTGTTAACTAACCAGTTGTGTATCTGATTACATTTTCAGAAAAACATCACACTGCAGAAGCTGAAGGAGACTTTTCTGGACTACAACAGAATCATCGACGTACTGAATTCACATTATACAATTCAAAATGTTAGAAATATGTTTGGAAAAATGACATGTTTTGGTCAAATAGATTTTTTTTTTTTTGTCTTTCAGGGTCTGCAGTGTGATCTGGTGAGATTACAGGAGCACTCACAGCGAGCACTTTTGAGGTAAATCCCAGCAATTTGCCTACTTTAATGGGTGATTCCACGACTGCAGTGCCATTTGTGGCTCACTGATATGTACATATTTGTTAATGTAATATGTGAGGTTTAGACATTTTAAAACAAAGGTAAAGTTTCCTTCACAATAACCTACATGCATGTTGCAGATTAATAGTTACAACTCTGTTACCTGAACACATTCACCCCTTTGAAATATTTGGAGTAATCTGTAAGTCACATGTTCAGAATTTCTTGAAGATCATGGGAAGATGAAAATGAAGTTCTTTCATTCTAATTCAAATTATAGATTGAAAGTAAACTATTAATTTGAAAAAATTAAAATAAAAGGTCTTTGTGCCATTAGCATGGATGCTAGTTAACCAAGTTTTGTGTATTTGCTAATTCCCTAACCCAACCCATTTATAGTAAAATGCAAAAGAAACTTTAAAAAAAAAAGGTTGTTGCCTGAGATGGGATAACACACTTTTTTTCCTTCAATGCTGTAAAGTTTAAGAGGGTTCAATAACACCCCAATCATGGAATCACCCATTTGACTGAAAATCCCAGGATTGTACACAATTTTATTTAATGCCACCCTGAAGCACAGTTAATGCCCCGTTGGCGAGGTGTACATTTACACAGTCTGCTGCTTTACGGCAGGTTTGATAAATGTTCAGCAAGTCTGAAAAGTGCTGCTGCCCCAAACCATTTCTCCCTACACCGCGAGATCCAGGAGGCTGAGCCGGTAAACTCAGATACACACATCCAGCCTTGACTGTGCATGGTTTACATTTTAGTCATGATGAGTGCCAGTTCCTGGTTTGAAGTGATGTTTATTCTTTTTGGTGTTAGAGGACATGTGTCGAGGAAAACAGCGGCTCAGTGTCTGAGCTTCAGCCGCCTTCATCTCCAAAGAGAGATCTATACAATTTCATCCACAAGATCAAGTCTGCAGAGTTGCGGGTGAGAAATTATGGCTTAATAAATAATAGCTATAGTAGTAGCTAGCCCATTGGGCAAGTGAAAGTTCCAGTGTGATGTCCAGTGCCATGTTTTTTTTTTTGCCTGGAAACACAACTGACTAGGCCAGGGTTTCCCAACAGGGGGCTCCTGAACCCCTAAGGAGTTATGATGGCATTGCAGTTTTTTTACAAGTTAAAATTATAAGAAGAAAAAATGTGAACAGTAATATATTTCACAAATACTTAAATTTTTCAATTAACGTTAGCATACTTACAATGGCAAGGAAAAATAATTTAAGTTGTAGGGGTTCAGCTGACAAAAGTTGAGAACACCTGGCCTAGGCTGGAAAAAAAAAGGAGCACGTTTTGTTTATACACAAACTTTTGTAGGTTTTTTCTCTGGCTGTTGACCAAGAGAAGAAGAAAATGCTGTTAACTGCTAGCTTACTGAGAAAACTATGAATAAAGCCCTGACTCCGTAATCTTGTTCTCAAGATCGCACCAAATGTCCCGCTCAGTGGTCTGGCAGTTTTGGGATTTAAACTCGTACTCCATTACAAAATACTGAACTTAAACAACACATTATATGATTTATTGCATTTCAGGATGCGTATACAGCTGAATCATTACAGAAAGCATTCTTACAGGACCAGCAAGAGCAGACAAGCTCCAAAAAACAGCTACTGACAATGTAAGCAGCGTTTCCTGCATTATTTCAGCCTTTTGTTTTAATTATTTAGCACAAGATGCACTTTTAACTCAAGCTATCTAAATTTTTATTTTGCAAGAGACAATATTATAGCAAATGTTTATATATATACACACAGTACAATAATGAAAATGGAAACATGGAAACCCTTTCACATGCCCAGGGATTATTCTGATGGCAGAGTTGTGAAAAATTAGAAAAGGAGGTCATGTGACTGCTTGGAAATGTGAAACAAAAAATGCTTGAATGCAAATTTAACTCTTGGGTCATAATGATTTGAATATAATCTCTGAAATGTAAAGAAACACAAGATAGAAGCTAGTTTCATATTGGAAATTAATTTTTAAAAAGGATTTTTAGGATCAGTTCAATTTTAGTGTCTAAATGTGTGTGTGTGTGTGTGTGTGTGTGTTCTGCAGTCTGAGAGAGCTGGAGCAGCCACGGCCTCTGTGGGACCAGCATCCAGAGCGCAGGCAGATGGAAACACACTGGCAGACACAAGAAGTGCGCAAAGCTCCACCCATCACCTGGTGGAGAGCTCTGAGGGTGGAGGATGAGAGAAACTGGAACACCCGAGACCTCCAGAACACCACCAGGGACACGCAGGAGAGGATCAGCGCGCTGGAGATCCAGCTGAAGGACGCACAGATGGAGGTGATGGAGAGAAAACGCACAG